AAGTAAAGTCCACCCTCCTGTGAGCAGCAGCATGAGGTCTGCATTTACTAACAGCCTGTTTGCTGTTCAGATAAAAAGTAGCCTCGGACGCCTGGGGGTTCACTGGGAGTAAGATGCCAGGGCAGGTGTGAGGCTGAATCTGTCCCTCTGCTTCAGTTTTCCTTTTAGACCAAGATCTGCTTTTCTTGTCCCATTGGTCACTTTACGCCCATTGTCCTTGTGCTGCAGCAGGCGCTAGAAGAGCCACGCCTGGGGTAGGGACCAGGTAGCCACGGGACAGGTGAGGGGCCTGGCCTTCCTGCTGGGTCCCAGGTGGCTCAGTGGGGCTCCTTCCCACCTCAGGTCCCATCTCCTCTGCGCCTCACTCTCCTGCTCCCACCCTGTCCCCTCACCTGGGCCACCTTCTCCAGTCTAGACTTGACATCTGCCAGCTCCAGCTGGGCCTCCTGCAGCTTGGTCTTCAGTTTCTGGTTTTCGGTCAGGGCGCTCTCGTAGAGCTGGGGGAGGGAACCGCATTGGATCAGCTCCAAGGGGTGTTGCCCATGAGAACCACCACTGAGGGAGAGTCTAGCAAACAAGGCATCTAGCCCACAAGCCCACCGTCTCCTGCTTCCAATGTCAGTGAAGCCACCGGGGCCCCAACTTCAACACTATCCACCCTGGGAAACCAATGCGAACACTCTACAGGGACCCTCGTGTCGCTTAAAAACTACGTCCCCGCAGAAAAGAGAATCGTTTCTTCAAAGACAGCAGTGTGCACACTGTCAAGTTCTGCTTAACAGGACAGACATTTTCCTAACAATGATGTTTCTTCCTGGCACCTCCTCTGCGAGACGGAGGAGGGAGGGAAGGGTCATGTGATTAAACCTCTGGGAGCCCAGAAGCTCTGGGTAGAAAACCGCCAATATGCCCAGCTCTGGACACACACATGGCACTAAGACACACGGACAGCCTGACTTAGCTGGGGGAGCAGCTGGAAGACCTGGGGAGGAGCTGTCACACTCTTCCTCTGCTCCATCAGGTGGGGCTCCCTGTCTAACCTGGGCGACGGCTGTGACCCAGGGACAAGGACCCCGAGTAGGACCCCACCTTCTTATAGTCCCTGCTGCTGTCCCCGTCGCCGCGGCTGGTCAGGCTGGCCAGGCGGGCCTCCCGGGCCTCCCGGCGCGCTCTTGCTGAGGCCCGCTCACTGTAGGCGTCACTGGTCGTAGGGTTACTACCTCCAGACTCTAACCTGTGGGAGACACGTAGGGGGCAGGTTAAAGGCCAGAGCCGGTTGAGGTGGGGGGGCTGGGGTGCTGACGGGCAGCGAGCCTTTTCTGAGAAGCACTTGGGAGCCCAGCCAGAAACATGCAAACGCCCTTTCCCTGAACCCTCCCCCCTCTCCCCCCACCGGCTGCGTGGACCTCGGGACGAAGCTGCCAGCTTGGAGGAGGAGGCCGTCCTCGGCCAAGAACGGAGCTCACTTGAAAAATTGGTGGTTTGGACCCAAATGCTGACTTAAATCTTACAGCTTTTCAAACTAATTTAGGGCTGAACTGCTCCCCTCCAGATTGTGTTTTTAAAAGCACAAGTTTTTGGATCTCAACAGCCCTGGGAAAATGGCTCCAATGACCTGTCAGGGAATCAGAAACACATGGACTTGGAGCTCGGAGCTGCAGGCTGGCAGGAGGAGTGGCCACCAGGCCCTGCAGGTCTTCGGGTCCCAGATATACAACTCAGGCACCAGCCAGGGTGAGCATAAGCTCCCCCTCTGCTCTGTTCTCCACACCGAGACCGGGCTCCCTGCGCTCAGGGTTTCTACATCGTGAAGCAATGTGGCTCCTAGATGTCAGGGTGGTTTTGGTCCCAGTGTTTCCAGTGAAGTTCTCAGTGGAAAGGCCTCAGCTATGACCCGTGCAAGTGACAACAGCACCCTCATCCTTGAGACGGGCTTGTGTTGTTCTGGGACTTGGCTCTTTGCGGACTGAAATGGAGGGCATGCAGCTGTGACGTGCAGAGCGGCCCTCACACTGCAGAGGGTGAAGGGCCACAGCTGTGGGACTAGCGTCTCCTGCCTCTGTCCTATGCAGCTACGTCCTCCGTGGGCAGGGACCGAGTGTGAGGGGAAGTGGAAGAGGGAGGACACGAAGCTCCCATGACACCAGTGGCCACTTTGTGTCACTAGGTCCCACACATTCTCCTCCGGTTTTAAAAACACTTTTGTAAACAGAAATCTCTTTATTGACTTTCCTGATTTTAAAAGCAATATGTGCTTGTAGAAAACCTTAAGTACCAAAGTGTCTAAAATAGAAAAGTGAAAGTCATCCCACAGTCCCGCCTTAGAAATAACTAGTCACGGCTCAGCTCATGCTCTTGCAGATGTTAATACACGGATGTGTTAACACGTTTCTATAAATTCAGATCATACTGCGGTTTCCTAACTCTCCCTCCTTCTCCACTTGTCGCTATGACTGTAGGCAACTCACTGTGTAAGTAAAAAAAAAAAAAAAAAAAAAAAAGACCACAGTGTGTGGCTGCACAATTTACTGTTGATAAACACGCTCACTGATTTGAAGTTTTTAGCTAATATAAACAATGTTACAATGAGAAGACTTGTCTATAAATCTTAGTGCATTTGTCCAATTACTATCAGGATAAAAGCGGTGGAACTGTTTGGTCAAGGGGTAAACACGTTCCAGGTACTGATACATAGTTGCCACACTGCCTGCCAGGAGGTTCTGCCCTTTCCAATACAATAGGAGAAATCTCTGTCTTTACTGCTTTTAAGTCAGGAGGTTCAATGTCTCTGGTTACCCATCTCTCTGTCTCTGAATTGCCTACTCACAGTACACTGTGGGAGCCTCCTCTGGAAGGGCTTTTAAAACCACCCAACAGGTTGCAAATGTTTTCCCCACTTTACTTTTTGTCTGTTTATGGTGTCTTCTACTAGCAAAGACTTCCAATTTTACATAAATCTGACAGTTTTTTCCTTTATGGTACCGTGCCTGGGAAGGTCTTTCCTATATAAAGATGATAAATACTCTCTTCTATGACTTTTGTAGTCAACTATTTTTCTCTTAAAAGTTGTGATCCATCTGAAATCTGTTTTTGTTCCTTTTTATAGTTTTGTTTCTGGTTTGGTTTGAGGGAAGGAGCTATTTTCCCAGACAGTCGAATGTCCAAATGACCCCGAGTTTAAGTCACCTCACATGTGACCTTTCAGGCCCTTCTCTGTGTCCCTTAGACCTGCTCATTTTTGACCTGCTTTAGACCATATTTTGAAGTCTGTAGAGAAAGTCTCTTTTCATAAAAGGCCATTATAATGTAGCAGCATTTACAAGAGAGTAACTGGAGGAAAGTGCCACCCTCTAGCGAGTCTGCAGAACTAGCTTCTGCCAGGTGAGAGGTGGACATTTAGCCTGAGAGAGGGTGGGGGAGGGGGAGTCCATGAGGCTTGTCAATGCTCAGAACCAGTTCACCTTCCAGACTATGAGGCTCACCCTCTATGAGATCCCATACTTCCATCTCCCCGTCTGTCCTCACTCCCCATCAGAGGCATGGTGGGAAAGGGGAGCTCCAAGCCTATGGCCCCAGGGCCTCCACCATATTTCTCTTATTTTTCAGGAAGATGGGTTTGTGCGCTCAGAGGCTCACTCCCAGGCTCGGACAAGCTTCCTGACTGTCTCCGCACTTGCAGGTCAGGCTTCTAACTCATTGTCACTGACTCCTGAGTAGCCTGCAGGTCGGGACTGTCAGCTGCCCCCATTCTACCACCGGCCACGCTGGGGGCCGGCTCTTCCCAAAGCTGGGCCCGTCTCAGGCGGGTGAAGCAAACAGCGTACTGGGAGGAGGAGGGTGGCAGGAGGGGAGACAGCCTGAACTGCTGTGGAAACGGAAAGGATGTGAGGGACACACTAAACCACTAAAGCTGAGTTTAATCAGACATGCACTCACACACGAGAATTAAGCATGCGTATAAAACGATCGTTCTTACCTAGAAAGTCTTTCGTGCTAGAGAAAGGAAGAGACAAAAAAACAAAACAAAATAAAGATTAAAAAATCAGCATTAGCAAGGGACGGACATGAGCGTTTCCATTTACAAACTCGCTTTTCAAACCAGATGTCTCAGCTGAGGGCGGGAGGAAGGGGAGTGATTTGAGGGGGAGGCGATTCTGGCGGCAGTGCATCCCCTGTGCCCAGGACTCTGCCCTGGGGACTTTGGGGACGGCACCTTCTAGAACCAGGAGCGGCAAAAGGCGAACGAATCACAACCTACCCCACCTCCTCCTGCTCCAGGAGTGGCTGACTCGGGTCTCAGTACCTGTCCTAATTTCCTTCAGGTCACAAACCCCTGCGAACACCACACCTCAGGCAGGGGCCTGGCCTTCTCTGGGTCAGCAGTGCAGGTAGGAGAGGGGCAGTCCCGGTCCTCGTCTCAGCAGAAGGACTTCAAGATGCAAACTAACCTGGACACGAGGGTCCTGGCAAACACAGGTGATGGAGCCTGCACTTTACGTGTATTTTAATCAACCATGACCTTTACTGTATTATCTCCACTTTTGTTTTTAAACCCGGGGAGCCTGGCCGGCGTGGCTCAGCGGTTGAGCGTCGACCTAGGATCAGTCAATCGGGGTTCGACTCCCGGTCAGGGCACATGCCCGGGCTGCGGGCCGGGTCCCCGGTGGGGCGCGCAGGAGGCAGCCGATCAACGACTCTCTCAGCACTGATGTTTCTCTCTCCCTCTCCCTTCCTCTCTCTGAAATCAATAAAGATATATTTAAAAAAAAAGAACTCGGGGAAATAAAAACCCAGTTGACTTGATTGAGAGCATTTCCTCATTTCTTCTTGTGAAGTGTTGACAACAAACCCTGGAGGACAGATGGAAAGAACGAAGGAGAGAGACGGCCAACAACCCACGGGATGAACTGAACCCGCGGCGGGTCGCTGAGCACGCCCGCCTGAAGCATCACCACCGACACGGGACACGTGAGACAGCCACACGCCACCCCAGCGTCCAGAGGAAGGACCGCGCCGATGGCCTTTCTCCACGGAGCGAGGGGGAGGGGGGAGAAAAGCTGTCCAGACACCAACGTGAGCAAAGAAAACAGAAGTAAAGAACCAACTGGCTGCACAGACCAGCTTTTAGAAACCCAAGAGCAGGCTCCTTCCTTTCCTAGCTCTGAAACTCTCCCCCAACAGCCTCCTTGGCTGGGACCTGTTTCTAATACAGGACAGAGATCTCCATCGGTTCAGATGGCACCCGGGGGGACAGAGCCAGACTGGTTCTGATTTGTGAAATGTGTACAGCTCGCAAAACACCAGAGGCTGGCTTAGAAAAACCCACAAAAGCTTTTAACTTGAAAGTTGCCGGGAGTTTGGGAAGGCCCGTAATTAAAACCAACGCCCCCCCCCCCCATTTAAAAGAAAAC